ATATATATATATACATGTTATATGTTATACATGTATAATTTTTAAGAACGTACTCAGCTTGAGCAATCACTCGTGATTGTTCCAACAGATATACTGAAATTCGCGCACCAGTCACCTTTCCGCCTTTTGTCATTGTTAAATCTAGATACTTTCCGAATCTGGAAGAATTCGCATTGATACCAGTCGTGGCATTTCCGAAAGCTTCCATTATAGGATTTATTTGGAGTATTCTCTCCTCGAGGTTACGATTCGGCGCCTTGCTGAGATAGACGAGCTGTTTTAGTAGTAAATTTGCGCTTTCCGTCTTTCCGGCACCTGATTCGCCGCTGATAACTATCGCTTGGTTTTGACGTTGATGAAGTAGAGCTTGATACGCGGCATCGGCAACCGCAAATATGTGTGGGGGATTATCTGATCTCGCTTGTCCTTTGTACCGTTTTTGTTCCTAAAGAATAAACTTAGTAATTATAAACTTATAGTAATTATAATGATTTATACTTTATTAAATATTTATTAATACAAGTAACAAATAATTTATGTGTGTTTATTAATATGTGCCTATTAATGCAACAATTTATCTAATATAAATAAAATACTTACGATACCGGTGTATAAACCTAGATTAGTGAAAGGATTAACAGCAACCAGTATATCCCCGATATATGTGTATATCTGCGCTTGCTCATATCGGTGCTGTAATTGATCGACAATAGCCTCTTCCGATAGCATGTCGAGAGCCGCCAGATCATCCATGTACATCTTCTCTGGTCTCGTCTTGCGGTCCGTCTTCAATTTACCATGTTTTGTAGTCACTTCCGGCTGCCTGTGAACGCGACCTTCTGTTCTCTGTCTACGAATCTCTTCTCTCAATTGCTCTCTGATTTTCCCTATGATTGGTTCCACCTTTGTCAATAATGGGTGCTCTCTCAATTCACTAGCAAACGGCCGATGCTCCAAATCTTTCACCAAGCATTCAGCTATAAAATCCGTCAGTTCTGACGAATATATATCCGGATTTTTCAAGGAAGGGGGAGGATTTCTCGGAATTTGAAATAGTGCTCGCATGGGATGCAATTCCGATAAGGGAGGATCACCCTCAGCCAACTCGATAGCGGTAATGCCGATCGACCAGACATCGCAACGCGAATCGTACGATGAATCTAATTGCTGCTCGCAAGCTATTACCTGTTTTATGACACGATCGAAGCATAGTTGTATTTCAAAATTTGCAAAATTACGAAATGAACGAAATTATATGCATGTATAAGATTCACTTTTTTCTTAATAGATCGTTTGATTTGCCATACACTGTTAGAAATATTCTTAAATTTCATTAACTTTTAAGTTACACAATTTGAACTTAATTTCATGACATTAAATTTAATATATTTATAACTAAAAAGTATATTTGTGTACATGTACATAAAATTTAATGTATTTTTCATGAAAATTTATGAAATTTAATGTACTTTTTATAAAATTTTATTAAATTTCATATTTAATTACATGTTTATTATATTTAAGTAACTGCTGTAACTTAATTTTCAGTTAAATCATTCATACTTTAATCATTACTTTTAATTTTGTTTATAATCATGAGCTTCATTTACATGTAAAGCTCGTGGTTACATTTCTAACAGTGTATATTATTTTCGTTGCTTTTATTCATTATAAAATTTTCGCTTTAAAAAAAACAGCGAAATTTCTTAAACTCACCTCCGGTGCCATCCAATATGGCGTTCCGACAGATGTGTTTTTCCTGGCGAGAGTCGCAGCCAGATGTGAAGATACACCAAAATCGACCAATTTGACACGCGCTTCTTCCGTGAGAAGGATATTATGACCTTTCACGTCGCGATGCATGCAATGATTACTGTGCAGAAAGATCAGAGCTTCGACGGTCTCCTTCAAGATATAAGCTATCTGGTCATCCGTTAGGCGACTGCCACGTTTTTTGAGACCCTGTACGAGGTCGGTTACGGAACCTCCAGTGCACAACTGGAACCGGAGCAATTAACTTTTTACATAACCCGTTGCCGTTTATTCCTTGAAAGATCGACAAATTGATATACATACATACAGAAAGAACAATTTTTCTGTATTTAAAGATTAAAAATTTAATTAAATACACACAGATCTGAAAATATATCTTTGTTAAAGATCAAATAATTATGTAGGATGCTCGAGTTTGTTGTTAGAATATCAAAATTTTTTGTAGCAGTACTCATTATGCGTGAGTTTCTTACAAAATTATTTCCAGATCTGCATCCAGTAAATCTTTGGATTTTTAACAAAATCGTTCTTTTCGTGTAGGAAAGCAGAAAGTAACTAATTTATATAAAAATTTCGAATTCATTGAGAAATACATTTTTTTAATTCTTCATTGATTCTCTTACTCTTGTTTTCTTTTTAACGGAAAAGATATGTATTTATAGAATTCAATTAGAATGGATAACAGTTTTTATCAGCAAGCATCGTTTAACTTATTACAATTAATTGTACAAGTAATATCATCATTTTATATTTTTAATTTTTTTATAAAAAAATTCATTACATTTTCATTTTCTTTTTTGTGAATTTGTTTTATGAAATTTAATGACTGTACCTCTATCACGAACCATAATTGATCTTCTTCCTGACCAGGCTTCGCTCGCTTTAAAAATAAACCGTGGAAAATGGGAATATTTGGATGTTGACTTAAATCTCTTAACACCAAATATTCTTCTTCAATCTCTTCGATGTTATCAGCGACATTCTCCAGTATTTTGATAGCTACCTTGTTGCCAGTTTTTTTATCGTAAGCAGCGTACACTTCACCATAAGTACCCTCGCCGATCAATTCTTCCAATCGAAAACGCTCACCTGGATCCGGTATCACATCGAAATTGACATGTTGACTGAGACCGTGGTATGCCATGTTAGTTCCACCTCCAGTCATTTCTACACATAATCGATGAATGTGTCGCTGTTAGAATCTTATGAGTTAAGATGTGATTATGCCAATGCGAAGACTTTCAAAACAATAATAGCTCCAACAAGATATTATTTAAATCGTTTTTGCTTTCTTCGCTCTCGAATGTAATTGAAAATAATAACAATGAAGCGTTGATTAGTTTGAAATTTCTATGAAATAGGATAATAAAATTGGAATATCTTATTACTTCTAAAAGTTACTTACGCGACGAGATTTCCATCTATTTTTTTTTTACCGAACACGGGACACTTTTTGCAAAAGATAATACGTTAAAGCGTATTAAAGAAAGTTTTATCGCAACCGCTCTCCGTGATAATAGTATAGCTTTTATCGAAGTAATATTATCGATCGATTATTTTTTTATATGCTTTCCTCGAAAATTTGAAATCTCAAAAATCTTGATACTTTATTGGAGTAGCATCAATGGAACGTTGTTAACTCTATCGGCTGCGACACACTACTGGGAGCGTTCTTTTTCTAATTGAATACCTATTAACTCCTTAATAGTATTAGTTTAAGTATTAGGCTTGTATTGGTTAGACCGGCGCACTTTTGCTTCGTCTCAAATATAGGTCTGCTAAGAAAGATGCGCTTCGTTTAATTTCAAGTTTCTTTCGTGACTGTACATTGAAAGACTGGTCGTGAAAATCATTAAATAGTGCATTCGTGCACAGTACGAAGATCAATTTGTGCGAATGCGCAGAGAAAGCTACGATAACATTGAAAACATTGAAAAATTTATTTAATTCCATTAGAATATTCAAATTTTTTTTGTATATTTAACTCTGTGCATTAAAATCTCTTAGCGAGATTCCACATCAACTTTTACGTGTAAAATTGTTGTTACGATATATTGATTTTCTAAAGTGTCAATACATTCTTTGTGCATTAAAATTTCTTACCATGATATGCTTTGTCAATTAAAAAGTAAATATTATGTTGGTATTTTTGATATATTGTATGTCGGAAATTATATTATTTTGTAAGATAAAACAAATAGTATCAGATTTAATTCAATTAACATTCTATTTTTATTGCTTATATCTTATTCTAATAATTTGTTTTGCTATCAATGAGATGGTCTATTTTTCTCATAACGAGGACATTTCAAACAATATTGACTTTATATTGGAAATCCTATCCAATTGAAACGAAGCCATGTAAGGAACAATAAGTTCCTCACATGGCTACTCAGTAGTAGCTTCGAGCAATGTCTCATTGCAACATATTATGAATATATAAATACAAACAGTTAATAAAAACTTTCATAAATTTTGTCTTCTTTTCCAATGCTCATTTTCTTCTTCAGCGAGAAAGATTGTTTGATAATTTATAAACCTGCTATCTCTGAATAATAGGATAAATCCAAACTATTTAGATACTCTCTCGATTACTATAACCGATTTTACTCAATGTTCGTTCGTGCATATCGGCGAAAGGATTTCTCTCAGAATGCTTCACAACCCGCCTTGCTAATTTTCGATGCATTTAATTTTCACTGAGTATGCAGATTGTTTTCATAGCGTGACTGACAAGAATGTATCTTAATTGAACATAAAACATCGGATATCAAATCATTTTTTTATTGAATTTTTAATAGTAAACAGTAATGGTAATTACAATTGTTAAAATAATTGCCAATAGATATATTAATGATTACTAATAGAACTAATTGAAAAATAACTAGAAATTGTTAATTGTTAACTGTTAATGTACTAATAATGCAACTTACATAGATTTCTTATTAAAAGTTTTATCATGCAAAATTATGCACACGCTAAATGTGCAGGTACATAATTACTGCATGAGTAAAATGATGGGAATCATGTCAAAAGCGCATTTCTGAATTGTTTTCATGCGCAAGAGTCTGCGTGCATAATTATAACAATTGTACTGGAACTTTATGAGATCACTAGTAAATACTTATAAGTATATGGTTTTTACGTAAAAGTTGAAACTTCTTCAGATCTCTTGTACTAAAAATAATGTGTACAACTGCGAACAAGTGTTTATCTCATTAAGATACATGATATAATAAACGATTTCTACGTCGAATTAATAACAAGGCTATCTTTTGCATCACTGATCAAGATGATTAAGAAGATTCAATTTGTTAAATTGAATTTATCATTGAGTTTCTTCGAAACGTGATAATAACGCTCTTATTAGTAAACAACATTTTCTTTTCCGTGTGATATTGAAAGTTTAAAAAAACCACAAATCGGCTAAAATCATAAATAATATTATTAATGTTAGTACTTGAAGCGAAAGCAGTAAAACGTAGCAATTATCTTGACGGTCAAAGAAACCAATAGTTATTTTATAAACTATAAACCATTTTTAACATAGCACGTTAAGAAAATATTTGGTTTTATTAAAGAAAGTTGAATCAATAATTTAGTCAAATAGTGTTTATTATATTAATCTAATAAGTAATTTTTTTAATAAATCGCACATAAATGATTTGTTGCTCTAAATAATTTTATTTCTATAAGTTTTGTTTGCTAAAAACTTTTCGGAGAATGAAGAAAAGAATATAACAGTAGAAAAATAAAATTTATTTAGTCGTACTGTATCTACTTTTGTAATTCATAATGATCAATCGTACTCGTTCTTCATGTTTCTTTATCTAATCATTTTCACAGATCGATGCTCTCTGTTGCGGACATTTTACTGCAATTTCTACGAAAGCTTTGTCATTCAGCGTTGATTGTTGAAAGGCGCTCATCGCTGAAAATTACTCGTGAGATATTTCATCGCGAAAATGCGCGATCGCATTTCAATCTCACGGTTCGATACCTTTGACAAAGGTATCAATTGCTCAGCAATAACTAATCGTGTACCCTCGATCACGTGCACGCCGAGAGTATTAGAGCGAAGAAACCCGATGTGAAATCGGCTTAAGGGTTCAGCTACAAAGTAATGTCCTACTGCCTTGGACAATACTTGTGACTGAAAAAGACGCAGTATAATGTTTAAGTTATATGAATGCAACGATGTTATGCAACTTATGTTATCTGATGAAAATGTTATCGATTTTGTTGTATGTAGATATTTCTTTTATTGTATGTATAGTAGGCTGTCTCAAAGTCTGCAAAATACTCATTGACGGCGACAATGACAACTTTCTCATTTGAAGAGAATTTCTTCCCACCGAGCCAAGTTTTTAAGTTTGGAAACAGAAAGAAGTCACACGGGGCTAAATCCGGAGAATAGAGTGGATGTGAAATCAATTCATAGCCCAATTCGTAGTTTTGTCATTGCGGTCGACTTGTGGGACGATGCGTTGTCTTGATGGAAGAGCATTTTTTGCACGCCAATCTCGCTTCAAATGACTACCAAACGTGAACTATGCGTCCTTTCTGAAATTTGGCCTGAAGGGGTTCGAAGAGTGGATCT